TTTTTTTTGTTTTTTTTTGTCATGAACTTTGCTAAATAATGTAATGTGTGATATGTGATACTATACTTGGTCGACTTGACCAGAGAAACAGTCTAACGGAATGGGTGAACCGGCAGGCCAAATAGAGGCTGAAGACGCTACAGTTCAAAGAGGATTCAAGTCGACGAGAACGTCGTGGATGGCCTGATTGAAACTCGACCTAAATGCATGACTGGTCGATGGATCAACCACATGAGCTGAGCATATGACCTCAACGCAGCCGCACTTTACCTAGAGGTAGTTTGAGTCGGTCGCACGATTAGACCATCTAACAAGGCACACTAATAGATAAGAAGAATTATTATTAAGCTAAGAACCACGCGTGGATAGTATCAGTGGCCTAACAGAATTTGGCAGTTCGGGCAAGTAGTTCGGGCAGTTTGGGAAACATATCCGTGTAGTCTTGAGAAACAAGGTAACACACCCGATATAAAGGGGTGAGGTATGTCCATTGCAACACTACATCCTCCACACTTATATAGCTTTACAAACGCTATTGTTCATCATCTTCGTTTGTGACTGACTTGATCGTTGGAGTGCTAATGTCAGGAACTCCTCCTGACGCATTTTGCTGATCTACGAGCAGGTCAGAGAGCAAATCCAGGTCCTACAAACCCGGTCGAGATCGTTTGTACACCATTTGGCACTGTATGTCGAAACTTCGTTCAAAAAGCCATTTGAGACATTTACAGAAAAAACTTGGAGCACACTTTAATTTACGTGTGGACAACCACACATCCGCTCGAAGCAGGCCCACCCTTGGGCTTCTCCAGGTCGTCTTAGAACCCGATGACCCCTACGCCTCATACTATGGGCTTAAGAAGTTCCTCGGTGATCCGTGTTGCAGCAGCATGTCCGAGTAACCACTCGAGGTCAGATGGAGCCAGGATGTTGAGGTTCCACTGCAAACACACCCATATCTAGCTTTTGTCTTGCCGATGGGACCACCAAGGAGCACGGGGGAGCCAGTTGGTCAATAGCACATCACGATGACAAAGAAAGAGTTGAGCAACATGATCGCCAATGCAGTGGCGACCGGGAGCGGTCAGCAGTAGTAGAAGTTGAACGCGGTCACAGTTACCGTGACCATTGTTGATAGCCGACCTAGTAAGCTTGAGAAATGAAGATGCACACAAATTTAAGATTATCGTCTAAGCCAGCCTATACATCTAACTTCACACAACTCGATGGAAGTCGAATAAGAACCGACTTCACATTCAAGGTAAAGACCGGCTTCTAAAAAGTTCTTTCCGTAGACCGAGGTCCGAAATGACCGAACCCCAAAGCAGGTGACAAGGAGCTTACACATTTGGACCACGAACTACATCGCAATCATTACTGTACACCTTTCGGTCAGCCAACCGCCTCATCAAGCCGTTTTGCATTTAATGCAATCACATCTACCCACTAGACAAAGTCAAACGCAAGCTACTATAAATAGCATAATTTTTCATTATACGAGGATCTTCTGGCAAACATTTACCACTTATGAACAACAAACAATTCAGTTCGCATTAAAACCGATTTCCTGTTCTCCAAAATTATTTGAATAAAATTCAAATTTCTTGCTTTCTACATGTTAATTGCAAGTTATTATCGTTGTTAAATATCGAGTAACAACAACCATGAAGAAAGATATCGAGGTAGACCAGTCGAGCAGTTTTGGAGGAGGAGCTAATCGGGATCTAATGGTGGAGCGAATGGCCAAGCAACTGAAGGAGTTGTAGGCCAAGATGGAGGGAAAGAAGCCAGGAAGAGCTAGAGGCCACCCATTCATGCAGAGGATCCATGATGTCGACCTGTCGAATGGGTTTTGAGAGCTAAGCATTACATATGATGGGTCCACTGACCCAGCTCGACACTTGCAATCTTATGAGAATATGGTTTTGTTGCTCGAGTACTCGAACGCGATTAGTTGTCAAGTTCTTCTGGAAACCTTATGGGAAGAAGCACAAGATTGGTTGAGGAGTTTGCTCACATGTTCCTTAATCAATTTTCCACTGCGAGGTCGCACGAGAAAGCCTACATTACTTTGATGGTTATGCAACAAATAACTGAGGAGACTCTGAGGAGATTCGTAGGTTGATAAACCAGAGCGTGCATGGAAATTCCCTCGACCTGAGAGGAGGTAAATGTTGGGGGATTGACGAGGGGTCTGCAGACTAGTCCGTGTAGGAGCTTGTTAGCTAATAAGCCGACAATGACCTACGACAAGGTCTTGACTAATTGTAACAAGTACATCAATATAGAAGAGGCAGGGGCCAAGTTTTCCAAACTAGAGAAATTGTCTCGACCTAAGACGAAGAAGGAAAAAAAATGGTTCTCCGATTAAAGAAAGTGCAAAGGGAAGGAAAGAGGACTGGTGGAAAGGTCAGTCTATGCGTGATGGGTAGAGGTACGACAAGTACTCTCCCCTGAGGTCACACCACGAAGAAGTGTTAGAGACCACTGAGAAGGGATTAGATGGAAACATGGTGACCTGGCAGAGGTCGAGAAAAGAAGGCCCTACGCAACCCAAGTCTGGTATGTACTGCAAGTTTCATAGGGATTATGGTCTTACTACCAATAATCGTTGACATACGAAGGATGAGATTGAGAGGTTGATTCCCAAAATGATGCTCTGGTGATCTCATCGAAAGTCGCAGGATATGACAGTCTATAAATTTTTTTCAATACCAGGAGCTTAGTAGATGTCATGTTTTATGACTACTTTAAGCAGATGAATCTCGACGTCGAGCTAAATGAGGTGACCACATCATTGTATGGATTCAATGGAAGGAGTTCTTTCGCATGGGTGAGATAATCCTATTGGTTTCCCTGGGGGCGTACTCAAGAAGAAAAGTAAAGATGGTTGGGTTTCTGGTGATGTGAGCTGAGTCACTCTGGGGAGGCCAATTTTGAACACATTCCAAACAATGGTATCGACCTACCACATAAAAATAAGTATCTTGTCCATGAGTTGGTCAGGGAGGTTGAGGGATATCAGCTCACATAGAGGTCTTGTTACCAAGTGATGATAAAATGAGGAGGTAATGTTCCAGGAAAGGAGAAAAATGTGCTAGAGAAGAGAGTAGTTCAAGAAAGTATGAGCCCAGGTCAAAAAGTTGCAAGGGAAAATATAAGGAAGAAATGAAGCCGAGAAAAAAAATTGTTGAAGTGCGGATGATCAAACAGTGGGATAAGGTCAGGGCTTATCAACCTGATCAGGCAGTTTTCTGATGTCTTTATGTATACTTCGGAGGAGCTGACATGGATTGACAGCAGTATTATCGAGCATTAACTAAAAATTGCCGTCAAGGTTCGGCCAGTCAAGCAAAAGAGGAGGCACCATAGGGCAACAATTGACAAATTCACTGAGAAGGAGGTAGACAAGCTATTGGCAGTAGGTCACATTATCAAAATTCATTTTCTAAAATGGTTGTCGAAGAAAATGATTGTGACTAAAGGAGAAGGTAAGTCGCGGATGTGCATCGACTAAGAGACCCCAACAAGTCTTTCACAAATGATCACTACCCTCTTCTT